CCGCCACACAGTCGTACCACCACCAGCATGTTACCCAAGCTGTGGTATTTTTGGTCTTCCACACCATTCGAAGTTGCCGACCCCAGTCGATGCAGACCTCGAGCAACAGCCTCGCCCCCAGAGCAGCTTTGGTGGTATCCAGGGCGCCATGGAAGCGGTACAAGTAGTGAACATCAACACCGTTGCTGCCTGCTCCTGTGCTACCGATGCTGCGACGTTTTCAATGTGAATAAGGAGCGTTGCTAGCGAGACCACAGTGCGACATTGAGGTTCGAGTCGGTGAACCCGCTCTCGCTCTTAAAGGGCTGGCCACGCAGCGTCTGTAGTTGTGCATACTCAAAATTCCGGCAGCACCTCCTTCAGCGTGGTGACGGAGAGTGTGACATACAGCAGGTAAGGAGCCTTGTGGCCAGCCAGAACTTTGCTCACACTCTGGCCCTCGCGGCCAACATACGCGAAAGCTTTGGTGAGCGAGTCCAACAGCCAAGACGTTCCATGTGTGGGGATTCATTAAATCGGGAACTGTGGCGACGCGTTCGCGTACGCAGCTGAGCCACGACGCAAGGAGTGGCTAGTGAGTCCGGGGCCGGCTAGGAAGACATGGGGGCGGAAGCCTTGGTCAGTCGGACGGACACCAGGGTGATGAGATCGTTTATATTATTATTTGCATTAGGTCTTTACGCTCTCCGAGCCAAGCAATGACATGACCTTGTTAAGCGCGTCCTGCTGTGCGGGGGCAAATTCGCGAACACTGGGTGTTCCATCCTCGCGGAGGATACCGTCAACCGACTTAAGTGCGGGACCGACTAACAATGCAGCGAGACTGCCGTAGCTAAGCGTCAGAGAAAGACGTACGACTCAAAGTGGTCCTAAAACTCGGTTCTTTTACCGAAGGAAACTTGCAGCCCAAGAGCCAGAGCTCAAAGTTAGTAAGTACACAATTACTTTATGCTTCAAAACCAGAATTGTTTTATTTATTGTTACTGCGGCCAAGCGGCTATCTATGTTTAACTATCTAGCATAGTTAAACCTAATCACATGCATATCGTGTGATCCTCATCCTATGCATGTTAACTCTACGAGTCATGTACTGAGAGTCTGTTCA